TTTAAGTCTTGATTATTTCTTAACCATTTGGAATTTGTGGGTGCCGTTTGCGGCAAAACGGAGAGCTCGTCGAGATCTTCACATTGATGTAAGCAATTTCTTGTTTGGCCAACCATAGGATTTTTGAAATCTAGGGCTTGGAATTGGGATTTTCATCTAGTTGAGGTAGGGGTTTCTAATCCATGCATTCTTGCACATTTGTGAGTTAATTCTATGTGATTTGCTGTCAAGCATGCTTAATTTATGTTGATTACCTTTAAAATGACATAATTGTTGTGCATGAAGTCCATGAATTTGTGTATTAGTTAGTTTGTATGAAAAGCAGGCATAAGTGTTAATTTTCTATGCCTATTGTGTTTGTAACTTGTTAAAAATTGCTATATGGTAGTATGTTAAATTGTGTAGTATGAAAATCCCCTATTGCCTTAACATTGGAAAGCATGAGATGTATATGCATATCATTGGGCATAAAAAAGGGGAATCGATTTGAAATGAAAGAAAAAAGGGGTTTTAGGGAAGGTTTTGTTAAAAGGATTTTGGGAAAACCCGGATGCCAAGGGGGTACCGAGGATCCATGGCGTTAATGTACTCTAGAGGGTACTAGGGAGATCACCCTAGCGTGGTTGAGTTATCTGGGCCTCAAATGATGCCATGGGGTTACCGAGGGTCAGGGACAGTAGCCAATCCTTCTCTCGTGTCACCAGGGGGTTACTGTGGGACGGGTTATGTTAACGGTTTGAAAAGTGAAAAATGGAAGTATTTAGATTCACGGGGTCACAAGAGGTGTGTCTTAGGCGTCACCTACTGAGCAATTTGCTCACCCCTTTATATTTAACATTTTTTAGGTCACGGGAAGAAAGTGGTGGATGACAATCCACTACAAATTTGAAGGGGATTAGAAGTTCATTTCTTTTGCAATCTTTTATATATTGAGCCTTTCTTTTGTAAAAGTATCATTTGAAATGTATCAAGTTGAAAAACATGGCTTTGCAATATAACTTTAAACTCATGATAGTATTTTTTTATGTAAATTGGGATAAATGTAAAGACTATGCATTAGCTCTTATTTATAAAGAAGAATGATGTTGTTTTGTATCTAATTGTTGATGATTATATCAATGGTATGTAGTCTAGCCACATACATTTGTTTTAGAGCATGTTTAGAGCAAATTACAAAGTTTCCACATAGGCCATTTCTCATTTTCTCAGTTTTAGCAGTTCTAGTAGCTGTACGCAGTTCGTAGAGTCATTTTGGCCTGCCAAAATGCCTGTTTCGGCTAACCAAACCATCTAGAGGCCTCAGTTACTGTTGGAATCATAACCGGCCAACTGAAGTGGCCCTATCGGTCGTCCGGTATAGGGGAGTTCACTTCGGCAGACCGGAGCTCTATTTCGGTCGATCGAACTGTGGTTGTTTGGTTCACTTTGTTTTTCTCTCCGTCATAATCCATTTAGAGTTTTGGGAAGTTGCTTAGAGCTTTTGTAAAGCATAATATGACCTAAGAATGATGTTTTTGACACTAGGCATGACGGGTTTGACTTAGGTGACCTCGGGTTCGAGTAAGGACCCGATTAACTGTTTGGACCCACGTGTTTGGGTCGTTACATTCTAGGCCCCTCTTGCATTTGGTTCCACAAAAAAAAAAAAAAATTAGCCATTTAGGTTGTCTAATTTTTAAACTTGGCGTATCTCACATTTAGCACGGGGCATTTTGTAACAAGTCAATTCATGCTATTTTTCCTATAATATGCTTACTTGTAGTGCATATCACACTCCTCATATATAAAAAAAACACATTTCTAAAGTTTCAATTTGGTGCAAATAATCCTGACACTTTTAAGTTATATTTTGATTAGATTGCCCTTATATAAACATTTTACCTATTATTTAAAAATGCATCATTTTAAGAAATGCAGAAAATGGGCATTTGGTACATGGTGGTGTGATACGTATGGTAAGTATTTTATATATTATAGGTTACGGTGTTTTTTTTTATTTATTTTATTTTTATTTTTTATTTTTTTCACTTTATAAACTTTTGTTATTATTAATATTTTGATTTTAACGGTTAGATTTAATTGAGAATGTAGTTTTATTGCAATTTGAATAATATGATCGATGACCGTAGATTATTAAACACCCATTTGTTTATTTTTTTTCCCAATAAAGACTTAATACACATTTATTGCTAAATAAAGAATTATATATATATATATATATATATATATATATGTTCAAATTTATTGCAAATTCAAAAGTTAAAAAATTTAAATGTATATCTTTTATATATATAATGAATAAGTATCTTTAATTTATTTTTTTAATTATATATTTAATGAAAACTGATAACTATATTAAATTTAATAGGGATTTTTTTTTGGCAATTATAAAAGGATCTAAATTTTTCATTCCATATGATTTACTGTACATTTATTTGACAATTGTGGCAACAAAATTTTATTTTAAAGAGAGACAATACACTGTTAGTGAAAATATATAGAGAAATTTCTTTTTGAAAATGCAAGAGAAAATTCTCAAAAGTGAGTTAAATATAGTTAATGTGCACATAACATCCTTACAGCATCTCCAGCGGTCTGTTAAATTTTTTTGTATAATCTGATGTGTTAGAGTAGTTTACACAAAAATTTTGTACTAATTATTTTTAACTCCAGCGATTATTTTATACCTTTTGTGTAAAAAATTGTCCCTCAATAACAATCAACCATGTGTCATACCCAAGGCCCTATATAACTTTTACAAGCCTACTTTATTCTGTTTACTTTTTGGCAATTAAACCTCACATCCCAATCCTCCTCAGTTAGGAAAAAAATAATTATTTTCCCCTATATTTCACTTTCCCATCTCGCCAATAGCAAACCTTTTTTACGCCATTGCTACCGGAATTCTAACTTATAACAAATAATAAAATAAGATTCAAGTATGTAGAAACTACGTGATTAAAATATATATATCTAATCTTTGGCTAATACATATTTATCTCATTAGAATAGAACGTGAAAGGATAAAAAATCCAAAAAAATCATAGAATCTACAGTATGATTGTAGAAGATAAGATCAAATGCAAGTGATGAATCAAACTATGTTTATTAATAAATAAATAAATAAAAGATGGTCGAACAGTTCTTACCTTATCGTCACTTACATATTCTTCTCTATTACACTTTAGAAAAGTGGGAAGCAAAGAAATGAGAGAGAAGAAAGAGAACTGCGAGTGAGAAAGGGGGAGGAGAGAGAAAATATGTTTACATGGAAGTGTAAAAGTGCGGTGTAAAATACACAACTTTTTTACACATTGGTAATGTGGCAATGTATCTTAACAGACTGCTAGAGATGAAAAAAATTTACAAATTATATGTGGCAGTGTATATTTTACACAAAAGAGTTTTTTAACAGACCGCTTGAGATGCTCTTAGAGATTATTAGCATACACATTCCCTTGGGCATTTTTGAAAGAGTAAATGAGCAAAATGGTATTACAGTATTACTTTATGTCAGATTATTGATTGAGAGATATTTTAATATAATTTTAAAAGAATATGAGTATTTTTAGCATACCTTTTTAAATAAGGATAACAATACTATGCAAAATATACGTTATGAGTATTTTCTACTTAATTTCTAAATAATTTTTATAAACAATTCCACATTGGCATGAGCTTAGATTTTTATCGTAGGAATATCATTGTTTTAGAAAAGGCTAATATGACAACGAATCTCGCTGCATTTAGAGAATCACGTGGGTTATTAAATTTGTAGTCATTTTTACACATTGGATTTCCAATACCAACCAACACGGAACTCTACAGTACACAGCGTGTGCGTGATTTTCATGAAAACAAAATGTAATTTTCAACCCATCAACCACGTTAAAGAATAAAAAATAGGTGTTTAAGAGTCCTCTTGAAAAAGCTTAGAGGATCAAAGCGTGAAAGAAAAGATGGGGTGATAAATACCTATAATACTATTTAAAATTAAATGATTGGTATTATTATTATGAAGGCAAAAACACAGAAGAGAAGAGGATGCTAAAGTTCCATTCTTTTTATTTAATATATATTTTTTTCGGTTTTAGTTTGCTACTTTTCTATGGTTCCTAACTGAGGAATCGTTTAATCTTTTCCTTCACCGTGGTGCAACTTGTCACTTTGTCCACTATTAATTTAAGTCATCCTCTTCTCTCTGAATGATAGCCAGACAATACAATACATTAAGCTTCCATGTTCATCTTCATGTTGATCTCATCATCTCAAGCAAGAATTTAATAAAATTCAGAGCTTGTATAGTTAGGCTTATGGCAATTGAAGTAATAGGGAACAAGTTAAAAGAATTTTTTAATTTTTAAATTTTTTCTTAAAAAGGTGGTACAAATGAAATGAGAAGCATGAAAAGGACTATTTTTTTATTTTTTTACCCTCCCCTTTCTTTATCGCTCCTCTCTTTCTTTTCATCCTTTTTTTATTGAGGAAATTTCTTCCCTTGTACCAAACTATACCCTACACTTGACTAACTTTTAATTTTAATTTGCCTTATTTTGCTTGACTTTGATTTTTCAAAAGTCTTCTTTCAGTCATAACAACAACAATAATAATTATAATTGAAAAAATAAAAAATAAATTCATGCACCTCTTCCTTTCTACCGAACTTGCTAGCATGCTTCTTCCTCTGTTTCTTCGTCTCTCCTACTGACCATACTACCGTTGACTGACTTTTAATTGCTAATTGATTGCATGACTTTTGATTTTTCACAGGAATACTTTTATTGCAACCATCTTCAAATTAATTAAACTACCTAGAATTCTCTTCTTGCGTCAACGGCAGCAGCACTTCTTCCTCCTCCAATGGAAACTCATCGTCATATGTTGTACTTGATGTTACAAGTTCATTGGAAATCCATATCTCCTGCACCATCAACCGTGTCTATCCGTCCGTTGAAGAATTCCATTGCTGATATTCAACAGGAGTTGCTTTGAGGGTTTCAACTTTCGTTTCGGCCTCCTCCGCTTGCTCCTCCTCAATATGCTCGTCCTCAACATCTACTATGGTTAAGTTGTTAGGATATGTGTGCCCTAGCATCGCAAATTCTAATTTTGGATTGTAAAAGTCATGGTTTCTTGTCTGGATATTATTATTAAAGCATTATACAATTGGTGAATGGAATGTATTATTTTTCGATTCTTTATGGAATTGATGGTGTCCACTTGATTACAAAATATATTTATATATGTATGTAATGGCAATTAATACTATGATATAAATTAGTAATCATAAATGGTTTAAAGTCGGTAATTATGGATGGACATTTAATTAGTTAAGACTTAAACCGAGTCCACGATAGATTGAGATATATTGCGAGAGCTGTCGTATGCAATTGCTCTCTATCACAGTCATGGTTTTTGACTCTCTAGCATGAGAGAAGTATAGACTCTTTTATTAATTAATAATTACTTTGATTTGCTCGGCGGATACCTCGGGATCCTTAGATCGACACTTTGGGTAGTTATGTAATTAATAATTAGAGGTCTATATTCTCAATATTTGCATCAGTGCTATTTGTATTTATTTTGTTTTGATTATGGTTGATCACAAATTAATTCGAAGGCCTTCGTATGTTTTAGACAAATGTTTTATATATATATTTATTTAATAAATTATTATTATTTTTTGTCAAATAAATATTTTATTGTGATCGAGCCGGAAATAATCAAAGGTAACAAAATAATTATATTAATTATGTTGTCGGATTGATGGCTTTAATTATCCGATAAATAATTAAGCATAGAGGGGTCAAAGTGCAACATTGACTTAGAGGTTATTTACTATTTAATTGGAGTGCAATTAATTTCTTTTAGTGGAGTAGAAATTAATTTATGAATTAATTGAATTGGGTCCATGGTTTAATGGACCGGACCAATTATTAATTTATAAGAGCCAAGAAAATAGTAAGTCCAAAAAGGATTCTCACCAATAGCCCAAGTTGATATTGGAGTCATGTTAGGATTGAGAAAGTTGAATTAGAGATGGAGAATGATTTATTGTTTCCTTATTCTTATTTTTATTTTGCCTATATATACACGAGTTCATGTATATTTTAGGGGGACTTGGAGAACAAGAAAAAGGAATACACTTTCTCTCTCTAGATTTTAGGGTTTTGTTTCTCTTCTAAAAGAGGCTACCACCAGCCTAGATTCCAAGGTCATTCATCAAGGCATATTGGTGATTCCTAAAGGGAAGATAATAATAAAAAAGAAGGAGAAAGGATCTTGCTAAAGGGATCTACAATAAGTGAGAACATTCACTTTAGAGGAAAGTTCAAAAGGTTTACTCAGACCTTTGATGTGAGTATTCAATCTGTTTATTGAATTATGCATCATCTTTTATTTATCTTTGCATAAAACTTGTCTCCATGTAATGAATCAAGATCTATGATTGCAAATCCCTCAAAAAGTTTTAAAAATTTGCTCGTTTCCCAACAGTGGTATCAGAGCACATGGTTTGATTCATTACTAGAGAACATGTGTTTATAAAAATCATATTCATGGATCCAAATTATATATACATATATAAAATTATTGATATATGTTGATGTAGGATTTATTATATTGATATATATTAATACATGTTGATGTATGTATAATTGTGAATGGATGATGATGTGTGTTTGGGCCATGGATGAAGCTTATAGGTATATAGAATGTAATTTTATTTTTGGATGAATGTAATTAAGGCTTTGTTTTAGCCGTTTGAAAATTCAATGATGTAATTTAATTTTTTTCCATTGTATTTCAAATTGTAAGTATTTATTAAAGCCATGTAATATTCATCCAATGATGCTATGAAGCTTCAAGAGGGTCCGAAAGGGTTAAATTATGCTTCAGTAATTTTCTGGAATTTTTTCGAATTTTTCGGGAATTTTTTGAGGCTAAATTTAATTTTCTGGGATTTTTCCGGATTTTTTGGAATTTTTTCGGCGTTTTTCCGGTGGCCGGAGCTTTGCCGGCGGCGAGAAGGGGCGTCGGAGGTGGCCCGGATCAGGTGTGGCGTCAAGATGGTGAGCCTGGCGCGTGTTCCACACGCGCCAGGAGAGTGCACATGCTGGCGCGTGCATTTCACGCGCCAGCCAAGGCAGCCAAGACCTCCAAGCGCGTGAAGGCGCGTGGAGGCGCGTCCCAAACGCCCCAGGCGCGTGGAAGCGCGTGAGTGTGCATTCCACGCGCCCCAGGCGCGTGCCGGCGCGTGGGAGCACGTGCAGCTTGCCCTAGGCGCGTGCCAGCGCGTGTGGGGTCCTCCGGGCTCGTTTCAAGCGGCGTTTTGCTTCTCCTGACGCGTACAAGCTTCCTATGGGTGTTTACAGACAGTTGAAGGATGCCCGTACAGCAAGAATAGTTTTTAAATGTTAAAAGCTGAATCCATTGGCCATTTATATTGCTTCTGTCTATTATTTGATGCATGGAATAATTTAATAGTTGTTATAATTGTTCATGCATTGGATCCATGATTTTTAATTAAATGGCTTGATTTATATTAATTAAATTATGAAGATAAATTGGATTAGATTGCTAATTAATTTGAGGGCATTTATTGGGAAACAGAAAAATTATTTTTAAAAATTATTTTTTGCCTCAAATTAAAGATTAGTGAATCATTTAAAATCCATATATTTTCTAAATTTAATTGGATTAAAATCAAGGCGTTTTGCATGCATTAAATCATGAATTAAAAACCCTAGTTTTATATTATTAAAAATTGAGTGGGAGCGGGGATTTTTTATACATTACTCCATGGCCTTCGTAATTATAACCATTATGATTAGATCTTTAAAAATAAGGCTCCACGCATGATTTAAAGAGTCTAGATTACAAGAATGGTTGTCTCACGAAAATATATTTATTAAATAACCATTATAGTTAGATCTTTAAAAATAAGGCCCTACGCATGATTTAAAGAGTCTAAGCTATTGATGGCAATATATTTACTATTTGTTTTTCCGTTGGAGCATTAATTATGTTATACACTCAATCTAAAATCAATAGTATTAGCTCCCCAACGGAGTGGTCTATACTAGGTGCTTTTAGAAAGGCTAAATCTAATCGGGAATTATTTCATATTTAGATAAGGCATTGTCTAAAGAGATATGGAAATAATGAGTTATTCTCGTCAATAATCAATAATGAATTCCGCCAACCGGATAAGTTATTAGCATATTGATTGTCCGATTTTTCATGCAATGTGGTTAAGGGGCCCACAATTAATTAATTGTTTTATACTTGCATGATTATTATAATTCACTTTATTTATTGTATGAATGCTTTTGTTTTCAGATTTATCATGACTAGTCCATTCAGTCCACTTGCAAACATACTAAAAGAAAATCGATTAACTGGACCTAATTATATCGATTGGAAAAGGCAACTAGATATTGTACTCACATATGAGGGGTTGAATTATGTGCTTACTACTCCTAGACCTTCTCCACCTTTGCCTGAGGATCCTCCTGAGGAGCATGAAGTTTTTAAGAAATGGAATAAAGCAGATGAGATGACTAGGTGCTACATTCTTGCTTCACTCTCGAATGTACTCCAAAGTCAACATCTTCAATATCTCACTTCTGCAGACATTATGCTTAACCTTAAGGAAATGTTTGGGCAAATTGGTAAGAGTGCACGCCAAAATGCTATGACAAATTTGATGACCATTAAGATGGTCCAAGGTACTTCAGTTCGGGAACATGCTTTAAAAATGATTGGTTTTTTAAATGAACTAGAGATCCTTGGATGCAACTTGGATGGTGAACTTCAGGTTGACATGATTATCGCTTCATTGCCAGACTCATTTAACTCTTTTAGGGTTAATTATTACATGAATAAGCTTGAGTACACACTCGCTGAACTATTGAATGAGTTGGTAACCTTTGAAGGGATAAACAAAAGCAGGGTGCATCTATCAACTACACTCAGTCTGCTGGACCATCTACTTCTAGGCCTAAGAGGAGGGGCAAGAAAAAGAAGAAAGATGGTGCCAAAACTGTGGTTGTGCCAAACAAAGTAATCCAAAAGGATAAGGGAAAGAAGAAAGTGCGGGTTGAAGGCGAAGGAAACTGCTTCCATTGCGGTCAACCGGGTCATTGGAAACCTAACTGCCCAATACTTCGCACACAAGGCAAAGGAAAAGGTATATTCATTGTTGAGGCATGTAATGTTGTTGAATCTATAGATTCCTGGTGCATAGATTCTGGAGCCACTAATCATGTTTGCAATTCATTGCAGGGATTCCAGGAGTCTAGAAGCCTCAATGAAGGAGAGATATACTTGCATATGGGATCTAATGCCAAGGTGGAAGCTAAAGCAGTGGGAGTGGTTCATATGCAGTTTGATAGTGGGAGGAGTCTTATTTTAGAAGATTGTCTTTATGCGCCAACTGTTAGGCACAATTTAATTTCAGTTTCTTCGTTGGTTTGCAAAAATTATATTTTTACTTTTGGAAAAAATGTTTTAATTAAATTAAATGGTTGTGTTATAACTTCTGGTGCATTGAAAGATAATCTATATGTTTTAACTCCTAGCTCATATCAAATGCAAAATTATGAATTAAATGCAACTTCATCTAAATTGAATGTTAAAAGAAAAGCAGTTTCTCCAAACTCATTGTATCATTGGCATCTACGATTGGGTCACATCAATCAAAATAGGATTCAAAGGTTGGTTAAAGAAGGTTTATTACCTGGTGAGGCAGAGGAGCCTATGCCAACTTGTGAATCCTGTATTGAAGGAAAGATGACTCGAAGGGCTTACTCAGCCAAAGGAGATAGAGCCAAAGAACAATTAGAGTTGGTGCACACAGACGTGTGTGGTCCCATGAACACCCAAGCGAGAGGAGGGTTTGAGTACTTCATCACTTTCATTGATGATTATTCACGTTTTGGATATATTTACCTAATGCGACACAAGTCAGAAGCTTATGGAAAATTCCGTGAGTTTCAGGCGGAAGTGGAGCGTAAATTAGGTAAACTTATCAAAACACTTCGATCTGATCGAGGAGGTGAATACCTCTTGGGGGAGTTCAAGGATCATATGGTCAATGAGGGTATTGTGCGCCAGTTATCCGCACCTGACTGCCCTCAACAGAATGGAGTGGCAGAAAGGAGAAACAGAACTTTACTTAACATGGTTAGATCTATGATGAGTTTTGCTACATTACCTCTATCATTTTAGGGATTAGCCTTAGAATCAGTGATGTATATTTTGAACTGTGTTCCATCCAAGGCTGTTTCAGGAACGCCATATGAGCTGTGGTTTGGACGTAAACCTAGTTTAAATCACATGCATATATGGGGGTGTCCGGCACACGTGCGAAAGAAACAGGCAGATAAGTTGGAAGCAAGATCAGATGCATGCTTATTTGTTGGCTATCCTAAGGGCACTAGAGGTGGATTATTTTATGATCCCAGGGACAATAAGGTTATTGTCAGCACTCATGCTGTTTACCTGGAGGAGGATTATATTATGAATCACAAACCTAGTAGCCAGATAGTGTTAGAGGAGATGGTTGGCACGTCAGATATACCCCCTGTAGACACACCTAATATAAATACTGAGAACGATGAGACACAAGAAGTCCCTGTAGTATTACCATCATCTAGTACATCGATTCCTGCACCGGTCCTTCGGCGTAGTGGGAGGACTATCATCCAACCCGAAAAACTCACACTTTTGGGTGAGGTCTATGAGGCCGTCCCCGATAAGCATGAGTCGGACCCAGTAAGCTATGCGGAAGCGTTGACCGATATAGATGCGAATCGTTGGAAAGATGCCATGAAATCAGAGTTGGAATCGATGTATTCTAACAAAGTCTAGGATGTTGTAGAACTTCCTAGTGGGGTTCAGCCCATTGGTTGTAAGTGGATCTACAAACGAAAGAGAGGAATGGATAGGAATGTTGAGACATTCAAAGCTAGACTGGTTGCCAAAGGCTTCACTCAACGTGAAGCTATTGATTATGAGGATACATTCTCACCAGTTGCAATGCTTAAATCTATTCGCGTTCTTTTGGCCATTAGTGCTTATTATGACTATGAAATATGGCAGATGGATATTAAGACGGCATTTTTAAATGGCCATCTTGAACAAGACATCTACATGAGGCAACCAGATGGTTTCGTGGTTAAAGGTCGTGAGGACTGTGTATGTAAGTTGAATAGGTCTATTTATGGACGTAAGCAAGCTTCACGCACATGGAACATTTGTTTTGATCAGGCAGTCAAATTATTTGGCTTTGAACAAAACGTGTTTGAACCTTGCGTTTACAAGAAAAAACAGGGTAATGTCATCATGATTCTCGTTTTATATGTTGATGACATCTTGCTCATTGGTAATGATGTAGAAGCATTATCATCAGTTAAAAGGTGGTTGTTCAATAAATTTGAGATGAAAGATCTTGGAGAAGCAAGCTATATTCTTGGGATCAAGCTTATGCGAGATCGGGTTAAAAAGAAAATAGGCTTGTCTCAAGAGTCTTACATTGACAAAGTTCTGATCAGGTTTGGAATGGAAAACTCTAAGAAAGGGTTTTTGCCATTTAGATATGGGTTGGCTCTTTCTAATGACCAGTCTCCTAAGACTGATAAGGAAATTGAGCAAATGAGGCGGATACCATACGCTTCGGCAGTTGGTAGTCTCATGTATGCCATGGTCTGTACCAGACCGGACATCTGCTACTCGGTAGGGATTGTCAGTAGATATCAGTCCAATCCTGGACTTGATCATTGGTCAGCTGTGAAGAATATCTTAAAATACCTTAGAAGAACTAAGAATCTAATGCTCATTTATGGAGGTGATGATCTGGTTCCAGTCGGATATACGGATTCTGATTTTCAATCAGATCCAGATGCCAGGAGATCTACATCTGGATATGTGTTTAAGTTCAATGGAGGGGCAGTTAGTTGGAAGAGTGTCAAGCAGGGTTGTACTGCTGACTCAACCATGGAAGCAGAATACATTGCAGCCTCTGAGGCAGCAAAAGAAGCTGTTTGGTTGAGAAACTTTCTAATTGAACTGGAGGTTGTGGAGCATATAGATCGGCCTATGACGCTTCATTGTGATAATAGTGCAGCTATAGCCCAAACCAAGGACCCAAAATTTCATAAAGGAACAAGACACATTCAGAGGAAACATCATGTGGTCCGTGATATAGTAAAGCGAGGAGATATACTTGTGGCCAAGATTGCATCGGAACATAACCTTGCTGATCCATTCACAAAGGCTTTACCGATCAAGATGTTTGATCGTCATATGGAGAACATGGGAGTTAGATGTGATTTGAATTGGCTATAAGTGCAAGTGGGAGCTGTTAGGATATGTGTGCCCTAGCATAGCAAATTCTAATTTTGGATTGTAAAAGTCTTGGTTTCTTGTCTGGATATTATTATTAAAGCATTATACAATTGGTGAATGGAATGTATTATTTTTCGATTCTTTATGGAATTGATGGTGTCCGCTTGATTAGAAAATATATTTATATATGTATGTAATGGCAATTAATACTATGATATAAATTAGTAATCATAAATGGTTTAAAGTCGGTAATTATGGATGGACATTTAATTAGTTAAGACTTAAACCGAGTCCACGATAGATTGAGATATATTGCGAGAGCTGTCGTATGCAATTGCTCTCTATCACAGTCATGGTTTTTGACTCTCAAGCATGAGAGAAGTATAGACTCTTTTATTAATTAATAATTACTTTGATTTACTCGGCGGATACCTCGGGATCCTTAGATCGACACTTTGGGTAGTTAAGTAATTAATAATTAGAGGTCTATATTCTCAATATTTGCATCAGTGCTATTTGTATTTATTTTGTTTTGATTATGGTTGATCACAAATTAATTCGAAGGCCTTCGTATGTTTTAGAAAAATGTTTTATATATATATATTTATTTAATAAATTATTATTATTTTTTGTCAAATAAATATTTTATTGTGATCGAGCCGGAAATAATCAAAGGTAACAAAATAATTATATTAATTATGTTGTCGGATTGATGGCTTTAATTATCCGATAAATAATTAAGCATAGAGGGGTCAAAGTGCAACATTGACTTAGAGATTATTTACTATTTAATTGGAGTGCAATTAATTTCTTTTAGTGGAGTAGAAATTAATTTATGAATTAATTGAATTGGGTCCATGGTTTAATGGACTGGACCAATTATTAATTTATAAGAGCCAAGAAAATAGTAAGCCCAAAAGGATTCTCACCAATAGCCCAAGTTGATATTGGAGTCATGTTAGGATTGAGAAAGTTGAATTAGAGATGGAGAATGATTTATTGTTTCCTTATTCTTATTTTTATTTTGCCTATATATACATGAGTTCATGTATATTTTGGGGGGACTTGGAGAACAAGAAAAAGGAAAACACTTTCTCTCTCTAGTTTTAGGGTTTTGTTTCTCTTCTAAAGGAGGCTACCACCAGCCTAGATTCCAAGGTCATTCATCAAGGCATATTGGTGATTCCTAAAGGGAAGATAATAATCAAAAAGAAGGAGAAAGGATCTTGCTAAAGGGATCTACAATAAGTGAGAACATTCACTTTAGAGGAAAGTTCAAAAGGTTTACTCAGACCTTTGATGTGAGTATTCAATCTGTTTATTGAATTATGTATCATCTTTTATTTATCTTTGCATAAAACTTGTCTCCATGTAATGAATCAAGATCTATGATTGCAAATCCCTCAAAAAGTTTTAAAAATTTGCACGTTTCCCAACATAAGTGACGTACTGTTGAGGTATAAAATTGCATTTCAGTGGTGGTGGTTATAAGCACACACAATCACTCCCAAAACAAATCGTATTTTTGTTTCTTAGTGATCATGGCGCGAATATATAATCTGCCAATAATACTAATTTTACTTCACTCCATTGTTTCAATGCAGGCTTAAAGTATTCATAGTCTATTCCATAAGTAAGTTTATCATAATTCCATCAATTTCTTTTCTTTAATTGATTTTAATTTTCTCAATATCTCATTTTGATACTGACTTTTATTTTATTTTATTTTATATTTTTTTTCCTTTTTCCCCACTTCTGGGTGATTCGTCTATCAGTCGGCATCATCAAAACCATCGGTGAGTTAAAATAAGTAACTTCCTTTCTAGCTCTCTCACATGTTAGCTGGGCTTGTATGAGGGAAAAACAAATTGATAAATGTCAAGTATTAAAAGCAAATATTGTTCTCTGCATATGACCAATTAATTGAACATGTAGTAATATATATTCTCTCTTAGGAGTGTACATCATCATAGCAAGGATTTCAATTGGGTTGCTATTTTTTATTGTATTGCTGGCCTATAGATTCCGACGAACACACTTGTCCATTGATGATACCATTGAAAACTTTCTCCAGAGTCGAAACAACTTTATGCCAATTAGGTTGTTACGCTTAATTATATTGCCGGCATATAGATTCCGAAGAAGACTCTTGTCTAGAGATGAAGCCATTGAAAATTTTCTCGAGAGTCAAAATAACTTCATGCCAATTAGGTACTCCTATTCAGATATAAAACAGATGACCAAAAGTTTCAGGGATAAGTTAGGTCAAGGAGGATATGGGTCGGTGTTCAAAGGCAAGCTCCGATGTGGTGATCTTGTAGCGGTAAAAGTGTTGGGCATGTCAAAAGGTAATGGACAAGATTTCATCAGTGAAGTCGCTACAATAGGAAGGATTCATCATGTCAATGTGGTGCGAATGATTGGATTTTGTGTAGAGGGATCTAAAAGAGCTCTCGTGTATGACTTCATGCCTAATGGATCTCTTGATAAGTTCATTTTTTCAGGAGGAGAAAAGAATGTTCCCCTCATCAGTTGGGAGAGAATGCATGAGATTGCGGTGGGAGTGGCTCGAGGGATTGAATACTTGCACCGAGGTTGTGACATGCAAATTCTGCATTTTGATATCAAACCTCACAATATTCTCCTTGACAAAGGCTTTATCCCAAAAGTTTCAGACTTTGGCCTAGCAAAATTGTACCCCACAGATGACAGTATTGTTTCTCTCACTGCAGCAAGGGGAACATTTGGATATATTGCTCCAGATTTGTTCTATAAGAACATTGGAAGGGTGTCATATAAGGCTGATGTTTATAGCTTTGGTGTGCTGTTGATGGAAATGGTGGGGAAAAGGAAGAATGTGAATGCACATGCCGAGCACACAAGTCAAATATACTTCCCATATTGGATTTATGATAATATCAATCAAGGTGAGGACTTACAGTTGGGAGATGTCGTTGTACAAGAAAAAATGTCTGTAAGGAAGATGATTATAACTGCATTATGGTGCATACAATTGAAGCCCGTGGATCGTCCCTCCATGAGCGAAGTCTTGCAAATGCTGGAAGGGAAGGAGGCGCTACTGCAAATGCCTCCCAAGCCTTTCCTCTATTCCAACGATATGTCAATGGAGGATCAAGCAGACAACAACCCAACAGGAGTACCAACTTCATCCCATGCTGAGATGAGCATAACTATTGAGGATATGTTAAGATAGTAGTGTTTCATTTTTTATCAACTTAATAAGTTTGTTCTCATGTTCTCTAGACTTGGGAGCTTTTCATTAGGATGTACTATATGTTCGTGTTCATTAGGATGTACTATATGTTCGCGAACTCTCACATTATGAATAGTAAAACAACAATACTTAGACTTCACACTACGAATTTATTTGGTACGCGTTTTGTTATGTTATTTGTTTTTTTAGGTTGGGTACTATAGCAATATTTCTGGATAAAACATGTTTGATAAAAAATATTTTGTTTCGTATGTTACCACATTTCATAAATGGGGGCAAAAAGTCAAAACACCAAGTCCATAATTTCACTGTAGCAATAGATATTGGAATGGTGAATGGTAAAAAAAATTAATATTTTTAAACTAACCATTATATTTTTCAGACTTGGAACAATTTTTTACCATACATGTTATCATGTTTTTACTTTCAAAAATCTTGCAACAAATAACATGCTTCCGATTACTGTTCAAGACGTTTTACAACAACACACTTGTTTTGTTCCGAATTAAAACAAAAATAAAAAATGTTTCCGGTTACCAAACACGCCCCAAGTGGGAAGAAATCTCTTACAAAATACATATTTTGTTTGGATTAAAACAAAAACCTAAAATATTATTCGTTACCAAAATCTTAGTACTGATGTGGCACAACGACAATATATATAAAGATGCACCACTTTAAAAATCTAATATGCAAAGAAAAAAATAAAAAGAAATCTTAACATTCTCTCTTATATTAATGATGTGGAGGAGGTTTCTCCAAGATATTAGTTCATAATTTATAAAATCAATGTTCTCATTAGTTATTGCACCAAGTTTAGTTTCCAAAAGTGCACTTCAAATTAGGGGTTCAAATGATGTTAAAAAGTAAAAAATAAAAAAATTAGAGGGCAAAGCTCATCCAAGCCCGTAACCATTTTTCATGAGTTTTGTTAATCTATATTAAAATTTGGATTTATTTAGTTTGAGCTTGGATTCAGGTGTCACACAACTTCAACCTAAACTAAATCCCAATTACTTTTAATTTTACAAATTTTATATATTTATAAGCGTATGTTTTTCTTTTTAATATTGAATTATTGTATTTTAATCATCTGGGGAATCTATGAACTTCTTCATAAATTGTTTTATATTTGCATTCAATTTTAAATTTCTTTATAATCAAGAGAAATTCAATAGAGATTAATCCAAGATCAACCCATTTTTTCTAACTCCTCAACCCAAATTTAAGAATTTGAAGGTGGCCAGAGCTAGAGTTGGTTTGGAGGATAGGTTGAGGTCGTTACATGCACCGGGTCTTTAGGATTTGGGGCGTGACCCGATCAGTTTAAAGCCAGCTACGAACAAGGTTTCCAAATAAGTGTGGGTTAGGGTTGCATTGGGTTGGTTCCTACTCTCACTAAATCAATTAGATGTATTGTCCATAAGTAGTGCGTAAAATATAGAGTAAAGAGTAGAACACCCTCTCCACCAAGACGAAAGATATACGCACCGATTGTCATATTTTACTATCATGGATGATAGGAACACACTTGATTTATATGTATGTGAATCAATACCAAGAGCAGAGCCAATGCATGCCCGAGGGCACATACCCAACCCCCTGCACCACCCATTCCTTTATATCGGTATCATTTTTTGTTGTTTTTTTGTTCCATATGTAGGAGAAATTTTATACTATGCCTGTAACAACTCTCACTCTAGTTAGATACAATATTGTCTAAAGGTTAAGCACGCTTAACTCCGGAATTCTGGTTGGTCCGCCATCACGGTTTTAAAATGCATTGTGTCATGAAAGAGCGTTGAATTTACATATAGCATTTGCTCCTTCTACACCCATGCGATGTGGAATTGTGCACCAGTAACTCGCCCAGCATGATAGTCTGCTGCTGTCACCTGCACATGCTCACACACACCCGCCCACAAGGTCGATTTTTTTATTTATTAAAATTATATTTTATTTGTAATGTTTCTGATTTTCCTTATTTTCTATTTTGTGGGTTTTTTGATTTTTCTAGATTATTTTAATCATTGTTTCGTTTTGTGTGCCGAACACCATAGGGTGTGCCGGGAGTGTTTAAGAGTTGTTTGGGGGCATTCCCATGAGTTCAGAACTCTTGGAAATACATTGGTTGCCATTTTGATCTTTTTTCCATTTTTCGGACCGGGAGGTCCCAAGTGGGACCCGCCACCGGGATTGTTGTGCACGGAAGTTGTATCACGGGTCCATTGCATTTCATACATTGTTTTATTGTGCATATTTATTTGATTAAATGATTAATATATGGTGGCTAAGTGATTGGTGTGTGTGTGTGTGTATATATATATAAAATATTAGTAAAGTTGAAATATTTTTATTTTTGTGGGACCTACTGATATGTCACCATTATATTGGCCTTAAGGCCATTACATAGCCACTGGTCACTCTCTCTCGCCATTCTCTCTCTCCCTTTTATTTCATTTTTCTTTGCCTTTTTCTTCATCAATTTCAAGCTCAAATCTTGAACTCATCTTTGACAATTTGATTTTGCCACTTATGCCAAAGTTAATGAGCGCATCAAGATCTTCATTTTGATCGGAGCAAAGTGCCATTTGGTCACCCTTTTGGATTTCAAAAATTTGGTGTAATTGGGGTTTTTCTTCAATTGAGAGGTAGGGATGTTCTAATCCACTCAATCTTTGGTTCTTGTGACTCATCTTCGTATACTTGACATATAACATGCTTAAATGTGATTATCCCTTAAGTAATTGCTTTAGTGTTGTATATTAATTTTGTGTATCCAGATGGGTTTCTATGTGAAAGTGATTTGTAAGTATATAATTGTTGAATTGAATTAAGATTCATGTTTAAATGGTTGTGTTTTAAATTCATATATTTAGTGGCTGAAATTGGTTATTTGTATGCATGTTATGCATCCATGAGAATTGTCTTGATAAGCTTGTAATACTTGTTAAAATTGATTTGTATGACACTACGGTATTTTAACAACCCAAACGTAAGGGTCTGAATCGCTAACCGGGTCCTTACCCGAAACCGAAGTCATGCAAGGGTACCATAGTCCCAACAAGGCCAAAATGGTCATTTAAACATAATTATGATGGTTTAAGACCCAAAAGGGTAAAACGGTCATTTACTAAGGTCATCAAATGATTATGATGAAGTCTGGGGGTAATAGGGTCATTCCCGTGGTTAAAATATAATTAATGTATTTTATTGGGCCATATAATAAATACTCGCAACTTTAAATGGGTGACAAAGGATAATTCAAAAAATTAAATCACAAATATATAAAACAGGAACCGATCGATGTGTGTACATTACACGTCGACTGGTTTGGGTCATCCGTAGTGAGATTGCTTACTGCCCAAAAATAAGAAATACCGGTCAACGTGTGGGAAGCTACACGTCAACTGGTTTTCACATTCGTACACACCGGTTGACGCGTGGGTGATTACAAGTCAACCGAAACTTCTCAAATTTGTGTGTCTCTATTCCTTGTTTGGCCAATCAATATACACTCAATTATACCCGCTTACACCACCACTAAAACATTACTCATTTACCACCATTCCAACAATAATAAAATATGTGGTGCATGCAATATATATATATATATTTTTTTGGGATACGAAATAATAAACGTATCTTATTACATACACTAAGACCGTTGAACTCTTGATTTCAATGCCTTATACAAAAATAAATGAAGTACCAGCACTATACAAATAAATTACATCCACTAAGCATAAATTACAAAATTGTCAAAAATGTATTCGCCAATCTTAACTATATTTGTGAGGTTTGTCTTCAACCACGTCATGGTCATACCTTGAAAAATGATAATAATGGGGTGAGCACAACAGCCCAGTAGGAAGTGCCTAAAACGCACTCCTTAATGACCCCGTGAATCCAAACAAAGAATGACGTAAAGAGAGAGGAGTCATATTTATTTTGGGGAAAACATACCACCACATCAAATCTACACATCACAAGTGCAATGTTATGCAAATCCATGATATGAGATGTCACTCCCCATTTCCAAAACCCCTTTTTCCAAAACAATTTCCTTCTCCTTCTAAGAACTCAATTTCCCCTTTCCCTTGCCCATGCTAATGTATGAATGCCACATACACTTCAATACCATGAAAACTTATACATTACATCATAATCATATTTGCATGCTTTATCTATCAAGTACTACCACAATTCTCATGTTATTAACCACAAAACCATAACACGTTAACATATAGAACAAAATTCACATTTTTGCAAGGAACTAGCATGATAACTAGATTCATGGGAAACTTTTCATGGAAAAACACCCAACAACCATAACTAGATTCATAAGAACACCCAACATACTTTTCATAGAAAATTATCAACAACCATAACAAGATTCACAATTTCTAGATTCTATACTCACATCATAGAAGATAACTCACTAAAATCAAAGGTTGTACAGTTTAGGAACCGCTACCTCAACAAATCTAACCAAAGCTCCCAAAAGCCCCAATTTTAGAATGCTCAAAATCAACCAATTAACAATCTGCTCCAATCACCTTGTAGCCCCTATCGAGCTCTACAACGTTGCCTTCAATGGCAACGATCAAATCACATAAGAAAGCGATGAAATTTTGGCTTGAAAGTAGAGATTTTAGAGATAGAGATGATTTTAGAGAGAGAAGAACTCTCGGCAGAAACTAAAAAAAGAACGACCAAAAGAAAGGAAAAATGTGGTCTTTACATGTGCATAAGCAACCGTGGGTCCCACTTGTTTTAAAAAAATCTTCTCTTGTCCCCTTTTTCCATATATATGTATATACATAATACTAATGATGAAATAAATACACAACCACTACAATATATTCCAAATAAAATAATCCGGGTGCGGGGCCCACACGGGACCTCCCGGCCTGAAAACCCAAAAAAATGCCGAAACGGCTGACAATGCATTTGTAAGAGTGTTGAACTCAAAGAAATGCTCCAAACAGCTCTCAGGACTTACACGACACACCCCATGGTGTCTGGCATGCAAAACAAAAAGATAAATAGATAAATTTAGAAAAATCAAAAAATTCCCGAAATTAGAAAATAGGAAAAATCAGAAACATCACAATCTCTTAAACTTTAAAAGATTTCATCCTCGAAATCAATCCCCCCCTGCAAGCGAA